TTAGTGCAAATTGAAATCCGAAATCGGTCTTTCAATGACATGACAGAACACGAACGTGTCTTATGATTACGACTGAAGAGAAGATCTGAGAAAATCTGTGTAGACCTGATTGTTTTGCACGGTCTGCCTCTAATAGTTCGCATGAATTGTGTTCTTACATGAATTGTCTATTTGGTAGACCGAAATTGGATTTTCGAGGGATGATGAAAAACTGTTTCTTTTTGCACACTCGAGATTCACTGCGGGTTTCTTATAAGCCTGATTGTATCCCTACATCCTCGCCCATCTTCACCCTGCTTCATTCACACAGACAGGATATTGTAACCGGTTGGTTGAAAGATCACGGATTCCGTCGAATCGTGGCCGGTCGATTGCCTCAGCAAGGAGAATACGGCTCAGACAAACACTGTTCCGATGTGTTTGTCTTTAACAAGGCCGATGTGTGCAATCTGCTCGACTCTGAGGTTGTACTGCAACGGAATCTGGTGCTACAGGTGATTTTGAATGTACATTGTTGATGCGTTTCCAACGTACTTTACCGTTCGCTTTGTGTCATATTAGTCCATTACCACCCCCCACACATCGCCCTTCAGGTTGCCTGTTGATTCCAGCTCTCGGTCAAACCTGTGTCCTGTATAAAACGTCCGACGATAGATGGATAAATTGGCCATAGAAGCCGCAGAGAATCATCCTGCAGGTTATCACGTCGATCGCTTTCGGATAATAACAGAAAACCACAGTTTAGTCACTTTACATGTCATGTGATAGATAAACACTAAATCGTGTATAGTTTATCTGTAAATGACTAATCATTCCAGGTGGGGTAACTAACATTGGAATATGCTCTCCTCCCCCCCCTGGACGGCCTTCTGCTCACTCAGCAGCAAGTGTGAAACAATAGCCGGTGCGGATATCCCGTGAGCCCTAAGCAGCTAAATCAATCAGTCTGATACGTGTTGCCGGGTATTTCCTTTTAGTATACATCCTCGTCATTCTTGACTGCAAATCCGATCGCAAGTACGAATTGAATAATTTGATTACTTGCGTGTGGTAAATCATGTAAATAGGTGAATGGTTAACATTCGAATAAATTATGCGCAACAGGACACAACAAGTGTGTCCAGACAACAGACAGTTCAAACGATCGCCACTGATTTGTTTGTTGAGAACACAAATTGGACGGACAAAAACTTGTATTCTTATTTCTACTTATGTTTAGTGTGTATTTAGGCTGCGCATATTGTATTTGACCTTTCTCAGGAAATAGACCGGCTATCCATCGCCATTACGCATTATTTGACTCCAGTCTGGCTTTAGTTAAGGGTGGATGTCTCGGGTTGCTGCTGATCACTCCTCCTTTGTACCAAGCGAAAGGCTTCCCTACGCCACCAAGCCTCTCGCATAGCCAGTTCTGCTGAGGAAGCCCTACTCACTGCCTCACTGCACACCGCCACGCTGCCTTGTGGATGAAGCTTTGACTAGCCGAAGGCTCTGTTTGTGACTTCCGTAAGATAATTCACCTGCTTTGGCCTGGGCAACCCAACTGTATCGAGCCCTCGAGCAGATTATAGACATTTCTATTTTTTTTTTAATATTGTACCATGGTTTGTTTGGTCACACAGTCTGAACTTAGGCATCTTTGAATATATGTATATACCAGGATGTTGATGCCGACTATTTTTTTTCATTGTTCGACCGAATGTGTTATTAAACGACCGTAGCCAAAAATCTGTGAGAGGTTGGTTGTAGATGGTACATGTCTGCACAAACTGAGAAAAAACGCGCTGTTTTATAATCTAAATGTGACTGACAAAGATTTCCACTCGAATGGCGAAAATTGCAAAACTGTGTAAAATAATATGATTCTCCATTCACGGTGCGGTGACTCGAATGGTAACATTCGAACTTATGGTGTCAGGTCAGCTCGGATTTTGCACAGATTATAGAAAACCGGATGCTGGTCAATCAATTCGGCACAACGAGCCCGCATACACGCGAATCTCTCACACCAATTACTGGGTGACTGCGTTCTTTCTTTCGTTCGTCCAAACGACCGAAAATTTTCTTGATCGATTGAAGTTGTTTTTGCATTCAGTCGCTTGGCTTGCACAAAATTCAAACGAGCAAGCAATGAACGGGATCAGTTAATGTCAAACGGAGTTCAATTCAAAGTACTTCACCTTAGCAAAGAGTTGGTGTTGACTTGAAGCGATCCACAGTAAGTCACTTTTGTGAAAATTACGACAGATTGGCAAATACCAATGCTAAATGGAGATAATGTGACGATCCTAGCCTAAGAGATAACACCAGGCACGGTGCGACGCGTCACAGTTTCTGAACAAAGAACCGCAATCCAATAGTGCCAAACAATCAGAAGCAGTGCGGTTCCAACGGACACTGTATGACGTTAAGAATTCAAGCAGGCTATTGGTGGAGACCTGTATGACCAATAAAATTCCATTGTACGTGCTATATATTCCCGTTGATTTTTCTCAATAAATAAACTAACCTCTACTTCTGTGGCCTTTTTCATGCGTCTCAATCACGGAATATTCCAGCCTACGATTGTCGGTGTGATTCTGTGCTTCAGATGCGAGGTGATTCATCTTCAATCCGACTGATACAATTAACAAAATACTGATTATCAAATGGACATTATTCTATGTTGACCGGACAGGTCATTTGGAAATTAGTTCATCCGTGCTACGTACGCTACGTACGTAACTCGTTCATAGTGCTCGTCCAGTCACGTGTCACAGTTTTCTATGCCCCATACTGACCAATATACTTTCAGACCGTTTGGTCCGTGAGCCAGCGTTGCTTAGTGTTAGGCTGTCGTGTAATATAATCGATCGGTGTGTTTTCACAAATATGCATCTAATCATTCAGCCGGTTCTAGACAGTACGTTATCTTGTATACGCTGTGTTTTCTGATGCACCCTTAACATAACTGTGTATTCGCTTTGCGGTGGGAATCCAGTTGTAACAATCAGTTTGATTGATTCGATTATAATCGGGGTATAGTGAAACGATAAAAGCTGCCCATAAATTTCAGTTCACTAACCCATCAAACTGTCACCTCGTTTTACTGACGTGTATGATCTCGCATGCAGCATAGCAAAAGCGGAGACGTTGATTGATAGTTCAAAGTCTGTAGCAGACGAGAGAATGTAGCAGGCCTAACCCGGGATTTTCTCACAATCCAGGGAGGTCAAGAATCACTTCCATCACCGTCACAAACAGAAAACCATGACATGAAAATAAGAGAGGCGGAACATTCTGAAACCGTTTCACAGTAAAGTTCATCACGAGCATATTCTAAACAGGTTCTCAATCACGAGGTGGGCAAATTTGGAATGAGTTCTACCTCAGGAAG